TTCCATATACCACCAGTCACATTTTAACATCAACATCAAAAGTAAAATTAATTATTTATGTTGATGAGATAGTTTAACAATGGCTGGAAACATTTTACTTCAATTTTAAAGTTTACACATGACTTCCAAATCTATTGATATTGTTTTTCTAGCCTTTACCGTGCACTCATTCATCTTCTATACATTCTTACACCGTTTTTCGCGAAACAAAAATTGGCTTAAATTAATGTTGACAGGTTTTTAATGACCTAATAATTCCGTTTCAATATACAATGTTTTGGCCCGGTGGGTTATTGTAGCTAGTTATCTCAGAAACTATAATAGATATTTTTGATAACAATGTAAAAAGTTAAGTCACTTATAAACACAAAATAAAGGTGATATTAGCTTTAAAAACTTACTTGCAGGGGAAAGATACCCTACTTTCAAATCATATACCTAAACAAGCAAAATTCAGTCAAACGGCCCTGGGAAAAAAGTAAAGAAAGGAAAGTTGAATAAAACCGAAAAAAGTAGGGAAGGGAACTAAAAGATAAAACTTGAGAGGTAAAACGTTTTCTATTGCTTGAATAGCTCTACTTAAGGGAATCTGACAGACGGCAGCGAAGGAGACCAGAATTGGTTAACCTAGCCTGTGAGCAAGCTCTCCTATTTGGGCAAGCGAAGTGAGCCTTGCGAGAAGCGCGAGCGAGGGGCCGAGGAAAGGAGAGCTTGCAACGATCTCTCATAAATTTTTATTTCTATCCCGGAAACCCCGGGTCTCCGCAAAGCGTGAAAACTGTCACCGCAAACGTGCCGCAGATGAAAAAAGTGACAACCGCCTGTCAAGTAAGTTTAGACAACCAAGGGCGCGTAGAATTATTCATTTATAAATCGCTTTCGCAACAGCATCAAAGCAATGTTTTTAATCACTGATATGATTTTTTTTCCACGGGGACATCGAACTTCAACGTGTCTGTTCGGATAAGAACCACTACTTTGATTCTCGTTTCGTTTACTTTTAGAAAGTCGTCCATACTGCAGTGTAGAAGACTACTCCCCATCGCAATCACCAACAAAAACATTTTTGTCCGTCTGGAACTGGAGAATAGCATTTTCCTGCACTTGGTTCTCTTAAGTTTTACTCCAGTTGCTTCCAATTCTTTCTCTTTTCCTTCTTTACGGTCAAGCTACACAGCTACACTGTCAAGTACATGTTTCTGAATTTTTCTACCCATTAGAATTCAATCGGGCGAAGAAACCGATGTTGGAAGACAGCGCTTGAATCACTCTTCACTTTCACCTTCCCGGTTTTCAAAACTAAACAAGGCGCTTGACACAAACGACTACAACTGATGACGGGTTTTCATTTTCCTTCCACAAGAACTACAAACTCGGTCCGACTTATCCTCGGCTCGCAACATTCTCTTTGCGAGAATTACATCAAACGAGCCCTGCTGCTTTGAGGGCTGAAACAAGTTTTCGGTACCAATCTGATCCTACTGAGAACCAAAATTGACACACACATGCACAGACGAAGCGCCTGCCAGCTTGGCCTGTTATCAATCAACTTTGATTTCCGGAACGTCATTTTTCAGCCAATGGTATTTCCCTTCGTCTGGGCGAAGTACAAATGAAATTTTATGAGAGATCGTTGCAAACTCTCCTTTCCCCTGCCCCCCATGGCTTCGCCGCTCTCTCGCGCGTTCTCGCGAGACTCGCTTAACTCGCCCAAATAGGAGAGCTTGCTCGCAGGCTATGTTTTAGACTACGAGTAGTCCCCCATTTTTCCTCAGGGATAGTAGAGCGTGCAAAACGCGAGCGCGCGTGAAAATCAACCCACTCGTAGTCTAGCTATGGTTAAGAACGATAGGTTATCTTTAAACGAGTTACATGTGAACTTGCTAATTGGTTTATGACGTCACGAAGCAGGTTAAATTTGTGACTGTAGTTGCACCTGTTCGTCACACAGTCCTGGAGGTAATCTCTTATCCAGATCTCTTATTGACGATGCCGAAGGCGAGATCTGGTCAAGTATTTTCAATATTACTTGTAAAACCATTCTTTATCTTATCTTTAGGGACTTTTTAAAACTCTCTCTAGAAATCAATGAAGACTTTTGAAAATGGCAATAAAAGTTATCGCGTAGAAGTTGACTCGCTGCTTTGAGGTTTTAGCGCGCGCAATGATAAAACGCGCATAGGAGCGTTGAGTCTCACTTGCTTGGAGATAAGATAAGAAATGAGCAGGTGATAAGACCGGGAGCGGTCGTCCTTTTTTTGCTCAGAGGCAAGAAAAAAAGTAAAATTATCAATGTGACGCGAAGAAAATAAGAGACTGCTCGTAGACTAGGAGTAGCTATTAATTCTACACGAAACAGTATTTCCTCGCTAAAAGTTTTTCAACACCTACTTTATCGACTGTCGCGTATATCCAGGATATTTTCTTTTTATGTCGTTTTCGACGATTTGTTTCTGTCTTCATTAGAACGCGTGTGCAAATAAACGAAAATCAAGGAAACGTGATGAACATCGCGCGTCATTTCAATCATGGCCGAAAATAAACCGCATGCTCATCACAAGACTCATTTGCACACAGTGAACTGAGTGAAAGTTTACAACACCCGACCAGTTAGCCTCACCATCGAAGTTTTGCTCATTAAGATTGTTCTTTTTTTCGACCACTGAAGTAATCACTTGTTTCAAAGTAATCAACGCTTTCAAGCGATAGAATTCGTGGACCGAGCCGTACGTTATAACGCTCTATAATGTTAAAGAATTCATCTTTTTAAGTTTTAGTCACTCTGCTGCGCCAAAATCACCCGTTTTCTCTATTATTATGTCGCTTTCTTGGCACATTCATGCCTGATTAGCCCACCTCAGTGGCTCATTGATATGCGTAAATGTCCGACCATTTCTCCCGATGTTGAATTTTATGTTGCGCAGACAAAGAAAAACAACAACAAATTAGTTGGTTCATACAAGATATGCGTACAACCACATTTTGTTAGGGAAAACTTCACGGTTCTATCAAAATTGAGGATGTATTTCCAGCATGCACTCTTTAATCGCCTGCCCATTCCTGTCAGGCGATCGCGAGTACAAATCGGATTTGACCAGATCTCGCCTTCGGCTTTGCGAACAATCTGGGTGCAAGATTAGACTTTTCTCTTAGAAGAACACAGTGTAATCAGCCTGCTATTAATATTATTTTGGTAAGTTATCTGGTTATCAGTAACGTAACGTGCTTTATGTAAACAAACAATCAAATATCAAGGGGAACAAAGATCATTAAATGTAATTCGAACGAAGCAATTGTTAATGCTTTGCAAATTAGAAACAAGCTTTAGTCTATTGGCCTTAAACGAGAAAGATGTTCCTTTTTTGGTTGGCATACCTTTTTTGTATACAAGTGTTTGCACTATTCCTCTCAAAAATACCAGATATTGCAACCATTCAAATTCTAGAGGAGCTAATCTCATCCACGCAGATAAGCTATTGACGCTTTTTTTTATATTATCTTTGTCGATAAATTATTAACAAACACCATCCCAACCTCTCTTCAGGGGACCTCATTCTTGATTATTCCGCATATCACAAAAACCGAATCTAATAATTATTTTATTATTTACTGCTTTGACGAAAATAAAGACAAACACAGCAGCATCGCATGGAATACAGTTTGACGTTCCTTTTGGAATTCATGCATTGTGTAGCACATAACTATCTAATCTGTAGGTTGCGCTGATTTCCAAAACTAATAAATGTAGGCACTTAGCCAATGAGAAAATATACATGGGCCAACCGAGTTTGCAGCCTCGGCCGCTATGATCCACGCGTGATTAATATATTTGAATAACTTAAATTTTGGGCGAGTAAACATCATAAGCCGTGTCCTAGATGTTGAAGGCACAAATGTAATAAAGTTCGCAAGTGTAATAATATTTGGTCACATCTAAACTAAGCTTTCTGTCCTTCAAAACGTTTTTTATCTGCCAAAAATTACTCTCTTACCCTTGAAACCTAGTGGTCAATTACCTCAGATCTGTTTTTATCAATCATTACCGATCATCCGTCATGAAGGACTAGAAAGAAACAGAACTTGACGCAACTTGTATACTTTGCAGTATGATTGTATCAGGATTGATCAACGTGCCTATATTTTTTGGTTACTGAGTCAAACTTTAGCCTGTGTACAGGCGCCCCCCTCCCCTCAGAAAAAATCGGGGAGAGAGACGTCTGTGAATCACTGTCGTTAATCGTGTTCCGGTATACATTTGCATAAATTATTTTTGTTGCTGTTTTTCCTCTGACAGTTGAAAAGATGTTGACAGAACAATACGACACTAGAATCTTGTACTACAGCACGTACGCAGTTACTTTCTCGGTCATTTTTGACTATCTCCACTTGACGATGAAGTTAGGGGAGGAGGGGGGGGGGGTAGAGAGGAAACTTTCCTCGCCCTTCCACCTCTCCTTTTCTTTTATTTCGCTTTGGCTTTCCTAACTGAACGCCTGGAACTGGCTGCCATAATAACAGGGCTCAATTTAACAGAAGCTACTTTTTCGAAAGACCAGGCTCCCTTTTAGTTGGATCGTTTTGGCCGTTGATATGCTAGACTACGAGTAGTCCCCCATTTTTCCTCAGGGATAGTAGGGCGAGCGAAACGCGGCGTGTCGCCTTTTCTCGCGTGGGGTGATTTTCACGCGCGCTCGCGTTTCGCTCGCCCTACTATCCCTGAGGAAAAATGGGGGACTACTCGTAGTCTATTGATATGCTAAAACTCACCACTTTTCCTGTGCCATAAACCAGGTCGAACCAACCCCCACCCCTCCCCCCACCTCCCACGGCTATCAAAAGGGCAAGAAATTTTAAAATTCATCGCACAATTTTCTGAAATATAATACTATATGACTATTAAAAGTGTAAACGATTTTAAAAAATACACGGGTAACCGAAGCATATCATCGATGTCAGCAGTTCAAACAGTTGGGTCATTTTCGACTATCCTCACTTGCTGTTTATGCCAATGGCACGATAATTGGATCCCCGACGCACATAAACTTTCCCAAAGTATGATAGCCCTTCTCCCTTTGTCCTCCTGTATCGCCAAACCTCACTTCGCTGACGGGTAGGTTGCTTTTATCGGACAGAAAGCCGCTGTCTTCGAGCCATTGAGATTTTTCTGAGTCACAGTTACAGTCGTACTTCGGATCCACACAGGAGTCATCCATTCCACATGCGCACTTTCCGCTGTCGGGGTCAGCACCTCCCCAGTAATTCATTTTGTTTCCATCTCGTGACACCCACCAGGCCATGTCTCTACCAAACAATTCTACTCCGAAGCACTCGAACTTGATAAACTGAAAGCATTTCCTTGAAATGCCAACAAGGGTTGCAATTTGTGTAGGGTTCACCCCAGTGTAAGTCACGATTCGACTGTAAGAACCTCTTGCTTCATAACCATCCACTAGTGTCGCATTTTCACTGTCATGACTTATGACCGTTATGCCGTTGTCGTTATACATAGTCATGTTGCAAAACACCTTAAAGGGCTCGTCTCCTGTGCCTCCGCCATCTGGATCTATGAAGTAATACCCACTCGTATCCATAGGAAAACTTTTAGATGCAAGAAGCTGTCGATTCTTGATGTCGCGACAGGAGGGAAGGGCATAAACGTATAGAGTAACATTCTTTTCCAGTGCACGAAAACTGTTGTTTGCTGTGCAAACGTATAATCCGTCATGAGACACCTCAGCAAATGCAATGAACAGTGTATTGTTCGGAAAAATCTCAACCCCTTGACTGTACTGCATGTGCCATCCCATTGTTGGTACCAGGTCACTATCTGCCGTACATGGCAGAGTCAGCGAGTCGCCAGCATAGATGAAGATTGGACCCAGAGGAGGAAGTATTGTAAACATGAGTGTTAAATGTACCACTAATTCCACTGCCGGCGACGTAATTTCTCCAGCTAAATTGGAAGCTGTGCAGGAGTAGTTTCCAGAATCTTCAGGTAAAACCTCCAGTAGATGAAGGTACCCTTGCTCTGTAATAACCGCTTCAACTGGCAGACTTCCCCCCACTTTAGACCGCGTGATATTTGGTAACGGGAGACCACGAGCTAAACACGTGAAAGTCACGTTCTGGTTCTCTTCCACAGCAATGGAAGTTGGAAGGGAGACGAACATCGGAGGCACTGGATATGAATCTGAAATAAATCACCGTTAGTGTTTTTAATAAAATTTTCATATTATACAAGAATTTCTTCAGCTTTCTTTTTTTAGCTTTGCCTTTGTCAGCTTATACATCATAACCGGTAGCCTGAGAAAACAGCCGACGTTTGACGCCGCTACTTGTTTCCCGCATATTGACGTCTGAGGAACGAGTACAGAAATTCCATATTGATGAACGTCACTACTCAGATCTAAATAGAGCTTCTGATTGGCTGAAAATTTATTTGCTTCAACAAATCAGAAGCACTACCCGTCTACCCATATCTGAGTAGTGACGCGTCATCACCACGTATGACTGTCGGCGCTCGTTTCGCTGGGAAACTAGTTGTGGCGTCACGAAATGTCGGCTGTTTTCTCAGGCCACACAACCGGAGATGGGAAAAGAGTACGCTACATGAGAGGACGCAGGCGATCTCTACTGTAAGTGTCGTTTCACGCAGAGAGTTTTTTCTGTGGTTATTGAAGGCGTCATAATAACCTGGATTGCGGTAACCTAGATCGCGGGGATCTGTCAGTTTCTGATTTCAACACAATGGCTTCTTATTTCGTGTATTAATTAAAAATGACAGGTTCCTATTTTAGGCACGAGATAAAGGTTATTGTTTTCAACCGAAAATGAGTTTCTTGTTTCAGTAACGAAAAGGCGTTTCATATTTCGCTGACCTCGTGGTTGAGAAGATGGCGCCGAGGAAAGGGTTTATCTCTTTCACTCGCGTCATTAATTCCGATCTTTCGGCAGAAAAAAACTGTGTATGATCAACACACACTATTCTCATTTGTGCACCTTGACAAGTAAATCCATCTCCATGATAAGGCGAAGTGCATGAACACGTATATGAGCCTGGTGTGTTTTTGCACACAGCTTTTAAGTCGCATCTATGTTCCCCTGTAGCACATTCATCAATATCTGTAATGATATGGGGAAAATAACAACATCCGGCGGCTTAAACACAGCCATATCACCTTACATGCTTGTATTTAAGGGTATTCTGGGGGTGCCGATCTCTCAAGAGGTTGTTCCGGGGTATTCCTGGGTATTTCTAGGGGTTCTAGGGTTGTTCAGGGGTGTTCCAGCCCATAATAAGCTTATTCGACGGTGAAAGATATAAGAACTTCCCCTTGGATATGTCAGATTATTGATTGATTGTAACCTTTCTTGGAAAACTATTTTGACTACATTACTTTAATCAATAAAACCGTAGATATAATTACAAAACTAAGACTCCTCCGGCTTTACGGACACCTGCATAATATGGGCACCTCAGTATTATGTACAGTTTGCGTTTGCTGATACCAGCTTTTCCCGATAAACTTTATACGCTGAAAAACCTTAGTATACTGTAAATTCTTTCTATCCTTTGTGTAATTCTTCATATATAGACAAACATGAAAATGAAAAAGAAAAAAAACAAAACAAAAAAAAAAGGAATCTTTCCCTTCGCGTGAACCAGTCTGGCCGCCCGCCAACTACCACTAGCTACCTGCAAGCCCATGGACTTTTGTAAAAGGAAAATTAAAGATTATATTCGACTTTTATGTTGACCGTAATGCAATTTGCTCTCCCCACAAAATTTTGCATAAGTTTTGCTTTCAGTTTCTCAGGTGACGATTGTTAGTCCCTTTGCAAGAGAAATTGGAAAAACTGCTTAGGCAAAATTTTGTGGGAAAAGCAAATTACATCATGAGGAACTGTGATAGTCGCCAATTGTTGTTTTGATATTGTTGTAACCATTTCTGAGCGTACAACAAGTCTGAGCGTGCAACATCCGCTTTAGGATCGACGAAGAAAGAGTTGTTGACTTATGGGCAGCTAGCAATCCTCCGCGGTTTTTCTGTTTCTATTGTTGTTATTTTTATTGGGATATATACCCAACGCTAGCGGGAGCCTCTAGCTGCGGAGAATAGAGAAACTGGTGGCTGAAAAGAAGCTTAATTCACAAAAGACTTGACCCTAATAGAGACTCTCAAACTAATTCAATTAATTCGAGTTTCTAGTCTAGCCTGTGTACAGACCCCCCCTCCGCCTCAGGAAAAATCGGAGAAGGGGAGGTGGGGGGGGTCTGTTCAAAGGCTATTCTAATCCACATCACAAAAATGCTTTTCCAAGTGTACGCCATATGCTTTTACGAAACCGTTCACGACTAATGGTGTTTACATAAAACTGTGCACCAAACTGAAAATGGCTTCGAACGCAGTTTTGTTCAACTCTGGCTGAACTCCGTTTAAATTACTGGACCTAAAAGTCTCCAGAAACGAGGATGCCCGCGACAGCGGATCGGTCCCACAGGGGAATGTACTCCTGCAGGAGCTCCTGACTCCTGAGAAAACTGCATTTTAGTGATGTTCTTACACCAACAATGGCTAGTGGGGTAGTGGTAATGCATCAATCACAAGCAACCACGGTTTTCATGCACTCGCTTGGATATTGCGACTCCTCATTTTTTTTCTCGTTTCCTGTTATATCTCTGTTTATTTTTCTCTCAGAAAATAAATAGTTTGTTTTACAAGTTACCTTGACAACCATACATCTCCACCCTCATTGATATATGTCCATTCCACTCTACTGGTCGAAAACGTACGTATCGTGCCCTTATTGCTGGGTTTAAGTGGTGAAAAACTGGAGTGTTCTGGTCAGTGTTTCCGGAAAATTCCTACGGTGAAAATAGTTCAGTTAATTTGTCAGGTTGTCGTTGGTTTATCGGTTGTTCATGATGACGCAAAGCACTGGATAAATCGCTGTCCAGTTGATAATCGCTTTCCAAGGCCAACAGAAAATGTAAAGGCAGCGTGTACAGATTTATCCTGTGGCTTTTGAACAACTGGGGCTAGAAGTTTATTGGGGTGGGACGAGTTCATATATTTTTGACATTTTCTGAGATAGTATTTGTAGTGACGTGTAGTGTAGTTCTCCCTGCTTCAGGAAGGACTCGATAGTGACAGCTCGAATATACAACATTTTCCCGTCAGGAATCTCCGAGTTCAACATTTACCATCTTTTTTGGCCAGAAAAGTTCAGAAGCTTGCCTATCTTGTAAATCTATACTTGGAACAGTATGTAAGAAGCGAATCTATCACGCATATAGTAGACCCATGATTTCAACATAAGTCTTTCCTAAACTCAGAGGGTGGATCTCCAAATGCGGTCCTTCTGGGAGGCCACAGGTTCGAATCCTGATTTTTTTGTCCCACGCTCGTGACCTTCATGGAGCATAATATCTTTCTCAAACATAGTTTTTGGAAGACTTGACAGACTCTAATACACTGTCATGAGCCACAATCAAATTGCAAGACACTTAACCTGGGTCTGTTTTCCCCGGTTCTTCCCTTTTTTCCTCCCAATGTTGTTGAGAAATGTTTTTTTTTTCATCTCATGATCAGTTTGTCCAATGTTGCGGCCAACATTGGAAGGAAAGAAGGAAAAAGTTCGACCGACCATAGCACGCGTGCATTAATGATATCATTGACCCAAGTTGTATCGATTCGTCACACTTCGCAGGTTGTGTCGTATAAATGATCATGATGATGCTCAAATAACCATTCAGTGAGTTTACCTTCATCCGTTCTTGTCCTTGCATGATCTCTGTGTAGTAGCTGGGATGATCCGAGGCAGTTTTGTACTGTAGGGTGTACTTGGTTACCCATGTGGCCTTGTCGCTGCTCCCTTGTGTTGCTATACCCGTTACGGTGAAGTCCTCACCCAAATCAATGCCAAGGTACTGATTAAGATCATTTACAGCCGCTGACCAAGCTCCTTCGAAATTTAGTCTGCCCAGGTGCGCTTTGTCATTCACGGATAAGATTGAAGACGCAACCATTTTGTCATCAGGTATGGTACCGTCTGCAATTCCTAACGCTGCATGGCAGTCTAAAGGAAAAAAATCAAAGTCTGAGTTAAAACTCTCGATATAATACAAATGATTTAGAAATTTTCATTCTTTCGCGAAGAGTTGTGTTAATTGGGGAGCTAGCCGACTCTCCTCGTCCCTAGCCAGTAGGGACGTTTCGTCAGGAGGGACGTCTATGCCTCAGCGACAGAAATTCCATATACTGATGACAAAACTCAATGTTTTCATAGTTGAATCCGGTGGTCATTATCGATTTTGTGTTTCTCCCCGGGGTTTCTCCTGGTCTATTATGGTAAATGTAAAGGTTTTCGCTCTTTAGCAAAAAATCTTAATACTGGTCGATTATGGTAAATGAAAAGGTTTTTGTTCTTTTAGCGAACAAGCTCCAGCAAATGATTTTTCTAAAGAGGATCGAATGCCCGCGAATATTGACTGTTTTGTTGTAGATTCATTTACATCTAAGCGACCGTATGTCGTTTGTCTGTCATTTGCAAACAATAGCTGAAATAATAAGCTACTACGTCGACCAATCAGAGCTCCTGACCAGAATTTGGACAGATTTTACATCATTAGTATGGAATTTTTGTCGCTGAGGCGCTGATGTCCCTCCTGGCTAAACGTCCCCAGCGGCGAGGTCAGCAAGGCCCAGACGGTTGTTTGCGCAGGCTTCTTTGACGATGGTTTGGAGTTAGTTATGTAAAAGAGGCGTAACAAGGACTGAATTCTCAGAGTTACGGACAGTTGTCCAAATGCGCCATACATTGTCCTCCAGGTAGTTTCCACACACAAGTGCCTTGATTAAATTTTAAGTTAGTCATTACTTTGATGAGTTAAACATCTCGCTGATCATTTGTATGGAAGAAACAGTGATGTGATGGCAGATGACAGTGATGGCCTTCGTGTACGCGCGTGGCAAAATTGGAAAAGCTTCAGCTGCATTCTAGTTTGTAAAGTCATTTAAAAGCAGTTAACAAGAGTAAAATAAGAATCCTTATTTTAAAAGAATTAAAGTTAAAAAGAGTACTACTGCAAAGACTGATCAAACAACGTGAAAAAGGCTGAAGTATACAATTTTTCGACTAGTCAATGAAGACGCTCTTTCCAGCGAAATTGACGGATTTTCCCTAACTTGTCCAAAAAGTCAAAAGTTGAAATAACCGTGAAACGGTCCAACTAACCCCTGAATTTCGACTTCCGTATATCAAATTCTGTCTTTCCCCGTTAATGCTTTGTTTGTCTACTTTTATTTTTTTCATTGTAAGTTCAGATACCAACTCGTGCGCATGTAGCTACGCTCGTACTGAAGATGTTCATGGTGAAAGCCACAACCACCAATCTTGCTCAATGTTACTTTAACGTGCTATCACTTGTGTAAAATTAAACAGCAAATCTTATTCCAGTCTAAATTGTTAGAGCAAATTGCCAATAAGAAATTAGTGAGAAAACCTGTAGTGAATGACTTGTATTTCAGATTTGTTAAAGATGGATTCTGCATGCGCGAAAAACAATAAAGAATCAAGTGGTAATTGAATGACTGGTAGTTACCTCGACAACCGTACAATTCCACCCTCATGGATATGTTCTGATGCCAGGTTGTTGGTCGAAAATGGATATAACGTGCCCTGATTGGAGGATTTAAGTCGTAAGTGACAACCGAGTCTTGATCGGAGTTTGCAGCGAAATCCTAAATAAGAAAATTGTAAAAGATTAACTTGTGCTCGCTGTTTCGCGGACTTGAATACGCGTCCGCTGAAATGCCACTCCAAGAGATTAAACAAGACTCTTTAGGGTTTTTTCGTTGAAAAGTTCCCTCAGTAACACATTACCCCAGTATGTCGGTGTTGTTCCCTTTTCGCTTTTACGACGGAGTTGTATCGGAATGTGCGGCCGTTTGTAGACTAGAAGTGGCAGGCTTGAAATAGATGGAGTAGGAACGGATTTCGTTGCTATTTTCTCTTGCTCCGCTCCCTTTTTTGCTCTTGACTGGAAGGTTATTGTCATCGCAGATTGACGTTTGCTTTTGCGGTGAAAGAGAGTTTACCACCAAACGTAAATATAAGGGCTCTAGGCAAATTTTAACGCCTGAATATTGGATAATTTGACCGTTAATGTGACATATTTTGAAGGCGAACTGAAGCAGCTGCCATAGACGATTTACACCATATTATTTCAGATTTAGAGGACAGGGGGTCGCATTTACAAAAGCAAAGACCAAAGGAGATTGGACGTTCTTAAAGACCTCCTTGTTAAAGTAAGTCTTAACTTTTCTCTAATCTTTAGTAGATCAAATTTGAGTCATAATATGTCCGTGGTTTTAAAAATTTGTGTACTTCGGCCTACGATGTTATACAAGACCAAATTCATCCCTGAATCACATACTACCAACTCCGCGGCTTAACTCCGCGGCATGGCCAGTACCTTACGCGTGCGCGCAGCCATATAACCTGGATAGTGTGAACTTCTGGCGCTTACAGGAGAGTGCTTTGCACTCGCCTCGTCAGTAATTGGGACCTTTGCCTACAATTTGGAGGTCATAATGCAAAGAAGCTAACAAAAATTTACCGGAAACTAAGAATCATTAATGTCTTACCGTACTGTTGGCGTTCTCCCGCTCGGTGTAATCTTGAAAATCCACTCCATCACTACTAAACTGCAGCTGATAGCTGGTCACTCATCCAAGTACTGAGCCATCACTATGGGCTCCCTGTGTTGATATACGTGCCACCCTAGTTAACTGATTTTCCATATCCACCTCAAGCCATTGGTTTTCATCATTCGTGGCTGCTACCCAGCCTCCTTTATAATACAGTCTGGCATGGCTTGCTGCATAGCTGGCGTTATATTCTGAAGAGGCGCTGATTTGAGCATCAGCGATCGCAAGGCTTTCCATGCCCAGAGGTGTTCGACATTCTACGAGAGGTTAATGGAATCGGGAAATATTCGTTAGAAAAACCGATTTGATTATTACAAAAATCTACTTTAAGAAAAATGTCTTCAAAAAACTAGAAAAAAGACCTTAAGGATAGTGACATCCAATCCAACTCCAAATCTGAACACCGAGCTGCATTGAAGGTTGGCCTGTCACGGCACTCTAGTCCATCTGTTTAGTATTACCAATTATTTGGCCGTACTCGCTTTGGAACTTATAATAAGCAAAAGAATTACCCGTAAATACGGCTTTGTGAGGAAAAATATGTCTCTGAGGAATTTAAGTTACAAACAACCAGAGATAAACTTTGATGAACTGCGGGTCTGGACAGATTTCAAACTTGCCCCAAGTGATTGCAATGACTGTCATGAAAAATTAGCCCTGGGAAAACGTAGAAATTAACTTTGAATGAATAAAAATAGCTTTACTGATTAGGTAGGTCTTTACCTTCACATATAGTTATTCCATCTCCCTCAAACCCAGGTTTACATGTACAACTAAACGAGCCAACGGTGTTAATGCACGTTGCGTTGGGATGGTGGCAATTGTGAAGAGTTCTGGTGCATTCATTGATGTCTGTTTGAAGTAAACGGTAATTGTTAGTAAATTAAATTGTAAACTTTTTCTCCTCTTCCAGATCAGAAATGATTTCTAATACTGAGAAAAACTAGAATTTTAATTGTGACAATACATGTTTCAGTGTTTTTTTGTTTAAGTCCTTTTCTATGCTAATGCGCTGACTACTTATACGAGGAAGTGGTTTATTCAAATTAATAAATGTTTTTCTAGTTCGTGCCACAGGCCTTCTTTTTTTTCCCCTAGCCCCCGTAGAGGGTAGGCCGTCAAGCGCAAGAAGGTCTCCATCGCAACCCTGACACGGTTTAACATATTCTAACTAAATAGGAGGAAAAAGTCGGTAAAGATCTGTCATCAGCGAGTTGAGAATGCAATCCGGAAGTAACAACAAATTCAAGTAAAAATACCTTGACAGGTGAAATATTTTACTGACCCTGCAAGCTACTTACTGCACCTCGCACATCCAAGAACCGAAAAACAAACTGCTGCCCCACAATTATGACGAATTTAACTTTACATAGACGAGAGCCACAAGAATCGGTCCCTGCAGTTCCCCGAGTTTGGTGCTTTTGAAGTGACAGAATAGATACTATGTATCCAAATGCGTCCTCGTTAATTTGCTGTTTAGATTGCCAGCAGGGCAATCTTATTTGAGTCAGTCAAGTCAAGGCTTGGCAGGACTGGTATGAGCGAAAATATCCGAGGGGGGAACTGAACTATACCTTGTTCCCAAGATAGACTTTTTTTTTCATTTTGTTATAAGTTCTTTTGGAAGTCATTGACTATTTTTGCGCTTATTTCTGTGTTTCATCAAAGTTAGGAACACCGAAACAGTTATGCCCTTAACTGGGTTTAACGAAACTTAGTCAGTCAAAATAATATAACACTGATAACCGGGCCGAGGCCTGATTACTAAAGACAAGACCGCCAGCAGTCTTAGTTTCCTATGAAGCTTACAGGGGGTAGCAAAGGGCGCTCCCCAATTGAATTCTTACCAACACACAAGCGACCGTTCCCCGCAAAACCATCTTTGCAAAGACATTCATACGAGCCCAAAGTGTTGTTACAGTGGGCATAGTAGTGGCAGTTGTCCAACTGTTTCGCACACTCATCAACATCTGTAATGTAAATCACCAAGTCAAGTCAAAATAAGACTGGGAAATGTAACAGGTTAGTCAACAATGACCAGACCGTTGCTTGGGGGAGTAGCTTAGGCAGTTCAGTTTTCTCACTGAGTAGTATAGTGGGGACCGGTTACTCTGTTTTCTGCTGCGGTGGAATCTCATTATCGTGCGGTGGAGTACATTAAGCCTTTTGTCTTTATCTTATAAATAACTGTGCTGTAGAATCTCATATAGATAAGTTGACGTAATGAATGTCCTGCTTTTTGATTAGTTAAATGAAGACTTAAAAAAGTGTCTATGGGTTGATGAACAAGTGTTCACTCCCGTGTGAATTATAAATCACTAAGCCGTAATAAGAATTATGCAATTCCTATTTACTACCGCTTTTATTGCCCATTCCATTGCCACACAAATCGTGCACAACATTGGCCACACGGGTTTGAAGGGAAACTAGCTCCTCCTATGGCTCAAAACACAATATTTTACTTTCCCAACTCCCCTTCCTTTTCCTCCAAAACGACGTCATTTCACTCCTGCTCATTTTTTTGTTTATTTTCCCTCCAAGACCACCAACACCACCACATCCCACGTCTCGAGGCTGATGGGTCTTATACTTGTCTTATACAGTTGTACCTACAACGGCCACCTTAGGGACAGACGAAAGTGGCCATTGAGAGGTGGCCGTTGTAGAGAGATTGAAACAAGAGTAAATGTATGGACTGTCGGCCAAAAAAAAGGCAGTTGTAGAGTGGTGGCCTTTGTGAAGAGGGGGCCGTTAGTGGAGGTTCGATTGTATACATATTTCACCTCTTTTTCCCATCCTGAAGAAGGTCACGGAGGTCTAAACCGATGACAACTATTGAATTATTTCAAAGTATTGATTTTCTTACTTCAATTAAGCCTGCGAGCTCGATGCGAGCAAGCTGGAAGGCGTGCTCTGAGGATAACCGTTAACCGTTAATACCTCTAATTTACTGAGATTCTCCGGGAAGGATTGGCCTTCTCGGCCATTTGCCCAGCCATCGAATCCCTTCTTCAAACTCATCAACAAAACAACTACCCCTAGAGGAATGAAGCGGTCTTCGTCGACTTCATTCGACGATCGAACCAACATACTCACCAACAGCACAGGCCTCTCCTGTGAAGCCTGAAGGACACTCACATTGAAAGTCATCAGACTCAAAGTTTGGAACGCATGAAGCGTTTTTAACGCAAGGTCCTCTGGAGCAAGAATTCTATTCAAAAGAAAAGAATAACAGCCGGGATACAAAAATCAGTTCAATGCGTCATTTATATCTCCAACACCAGATCCAATCCTGCAGAGATAAGCTTTTCGTGGGTTTAGAGTTCTGCCTATATAATTTCCGTTGATGAATTCAGAACTATACAAGACAAGCACACGCTATAAAGAAATTTAAAGGTCGTGGTCTGTTGAGAACAACCTTTTTTTGGTTGGTTGGGTTGGTCGTGTTTTTTCGTGTTCTATTTGAAAAAACCGTTTTTGGTTGGTCAGTGGTTGATCAACTTTTCCAATCAGCTCAGAATGTGGTTGAATGGTTGAAAACAATGGGTAGTGTTTTTTGCGAATTTCGTGCTAAAACTTTCCGTGAACGAAATGCTCGAATGGGTCTCACGAAACTGAACTGAGAGGTACTGGTAAACGTACTACGGTAGCGATCTTTGTGCAACTTCAAAAGCACTTTGTAAAATGAATGGAGAAAAGGAACAATGTTTTAAAATCTAAACTATAACAAATGCTTGACAGATTTTAATATTTTACTATTATAGAAGTCAGCAAAGGGTTTTTAAAACTCTGTTTTGAGACTGCCGTAAATTTGAAATCAAGGATAATTCAAGTTATTAAGAAAACTTTATTTTCTACCTGAAACGTCTAATTCCAAGAAATTCCAGCCTAATGAAAAAAGTTGTTTCTACGAATCTTCTTAGTTATCCTTGATCCCTGTCAGCCATACCAAAATTAAAACTCATTTGTTCTCATCTTGATTCTTTTTAACACAAGTCCCGGCGCCTATCATAACTCGAACCTTTTTATTCTCAAAAATAGTGTATGCGAAGTTCACGTTTCTCCTTAGTCTCCAACAACAGTTATGCTACATATTCCCAATCATCATCTGATTTTTCATCAGACTAGCACTGAAGCGTTGTTTTAGGCCGCGTGTTGAAGAAGAGCCGTAGCAACCATTCTGCCTTTCGCCAATATGTTGACAATATGTTGACAACCTTTTCGTAAGCTACCACCCTCAGAGCACGAAAAAGTGGTCGCTTACGGGAGGTGGTCACTATGAGAGAATTGACTGCATCTAGAACACCCTCTTTGAGAATGCAAATGTGGGGCAGAGATTCAAGTTTAAGGTGGTTTTTGACCGTCGCGTAATTTTTCCCCGCGTAAATGTCACGTGTAAGTTAATGTTCAACCTCGCTCAACTTTTACGTTTACGCGTGGCCTTTCGTAAATCGCGTTTATTCTATATACGCACATAAAAATTACCCGATAGCGGAAATTCACCCCTAGGCCAATTAAGGAACACTGCCCACTGCCCGTATCCTGCGAACAGAAGACGCATTTCCGGTCGTCGCTTCTCTCCCTCAGAAATTTTTCGGAGGGAGAGAAGCGACGACCAGAAACGCGTCTGCTGTTCGCAGGCTAACTGCCCGAGGTGCGAATAATTTTAAGTACAAGTCAAATGTACCTTTAATCCATGGTATAAGTAGTTTGGCCTATTTTTCATGTTCTGTGGGTCCCTAAACTCATCTGATTTGCTGATTTCACAGTCCCTTATGTCACCCTCTACCAAAGGCCCTAGGTTATACGATACACACAGTCTGTGTTGAAAGCATCTGAGTTGACAGTCGTCCTCCTTTTCAACTGGATATGACGTAAGCACATGTCCTTCCAATGATTTGTTATATTTCACGGCTAGAACCTTGACGAATGAGCATCTTCCATCTTTATCGTTCCATGAAATGGTGTCAAAATATTTATGCATACAAATGATGTGTGGAAAACAAACAAACAGACAAAATCAGTATGCGACAGTCTTATTTTTGCCAAAGTATTTCAAAGGTAATTACTGTATTTTAACTTAGAATTCTAACAGCAAATACTCAACAAAAGGCAATTAAGGTAACAATATGAATATATGATAAGCCTGCAAACAGGCTCTCAAGTGGAGCTGGGCAAAAAAGAAATTCGGCGAGTAAAAGAGTCGAGCGTGGCCTGGGGAGAAAAATAAACGTCTCTTTTCTCCCCAGGCCACGCACTGCTCACTTCGCTCGCCGATTTTCCTTTTCGCACTGCTCCACTTGGGAGCTTGTTCGCAGGCTACGATTTGTTAATGTAAAACGTGCCCCTTAATCAGTCATGGCCACGTTACAGGCTCTGCTTGACCTGGTTGGGTTTAACCGGTAGCTAAGAAATGATCAAAATTTTAGCTATCAGCTGGAAAAAAAGGCTGAGATCCAGCTGAGATCTGAGATCCACAGAATTTACAGTTAGCAAGATACTTGCTAAAAAATATTAACTGGTAGCTGAGATATTGCCGAAATTCTAACTTAGTGATAGTTGAGATTCGAGCATTTATCTCCTTGCAAACTCTCCATAGCTACCTGCAATAGCTCAATCCCTATGCCTGTACAGTCAGATAGATCCAAAATTTTATCCCACCTAACACCCAAAATACATCTCATCAATATGCCTTTTTTTTCTCTTTTGAAAAAAAAAGATGCTTATTTTCTAACTGAAAGATTTTCATGAGTAAGGCCCTACCCTTGGTGGTCGCATCAATATTTTATACAAGCAATTAAGGCGCAAGTTTATTTAACATAAATATCGCAGCTGAAATGAGTCTCCCGCTAGAGGTATGATCTGAAACTTTAGTAAATAATGGTCGGATAATGACCTTGACTAATAATTAATTAACGATCTGTTAATTGTGCGTTAGTGAACTTTTAATTTCTGTAAGTTTAGACTCTTGCAAACAGTCATTTGTTATCACTTTTTTATGGCAGTATATCCAGGCTGGCCATTCTTAGTATACGGCGGCCCTTTTTTACGAGAAGTTCACACTTCACTACTTTGCGTAATGAGATCCGTACAAAAAAAAATACTGATTTGCATTGTACATATCTTATGATTCAGCAACCTTAGAACAAAAAAATCTCAAAGTAGCATTTTTTAATTTGTTATTTTCCTTCCATCTGTCTTTTCCTTCTTCTTTTTTTTTCAGTCAGTTTCGTTCACTGAAAATGTGCCCGATCTGTCCTCCACTTCGTTCTAAATTAAACGGTATTTAAAGGTAAAAGGAGTTTGTAAACTCACCAACTAAAGCCTGTGAAGTTGTCAGATCGATTGAAGAATTGAGAATGAAAAGAAGAGCGACTGTAGCTACATACATGACTGAAGCCGCCATCGTTGCAAAGGGTAATCAGATATCGGTGACTCGGTGACTGAAATCATCATGAATTAATCCTAAATGGCGCACAAGGGTGTTTTTAACAGTTGTTAATTGCAAATCATAATATAAAGGTTATTGGTATTTTAATATCCCTCAAACTTGATCAGTGGGGAAAGTTATTAAAGGGGGCGGCCCTGTAATTTTAACCTGTTTATTTGTATTTATTGGAATTTCTTAATATACCTCTCATGCTAAGTCTAAGCGTAAGTTTGAAACAATAATTATAAACGCAACGTGATCTTCTCATTAACTGCGAAATTAAAAATTTTCTCGAAAACTCGAACAGTATTTTCAAAAATACGCTTTATGATGAATGGGCTCCCAATAATTGGCAAACATTTTTTTTGAAGTATTGGTATTTGACAATTTTTCCGCTTTGACTTTTTTTAACTTATCCCGAGCCCTGAGCAGCGCATGAAAAGACTCCTGAGTCGCCCTTCTCTCTGATTCTTTGAAACGTTTGCTGTTATTTGCGATAAAAATTAAATGAAATTGGCCAAGCGGGCTTCGTGTACCCATTATTCACGAGCACCTGCGTAAAATAGCGATAACTGTACTTAGTTTCTGCTTACTAATAATTGTAGAAAAAAAAAATGTAAAAAGGTAAACTGATCCTTACAGCAAGGCGATGAACTATTATCAAAAGAATAAAACAAAAAAAATGTACTGCAAAATTCTGAAAATAATCCCGGGGCTTATATTTTTCAAAGGCCCTTTTTGAAGAGCGAATTTTTGGAGGGCTTATATTCAGAGGGGCTTCTCTATGGAGGGAAATTTGCGTTTCAAAATCGATTGGGCTAGCCTTATAGTTAGACGGAAATGTACCGTTTTTGCTTTGTTTTACTTTGTATTTGAGGGCAATTTTCCAAGTACAAGCCCCGGGGGGGCTTATATTTGGAGGGGCATTTTAACGGAGGGTTTTTTGCGTTACCGGTTTGGGGGGCTTATATTTGGAGGGGCTTATTTTCAGAATTTTACGGTATGTCAACAAATTTGCCCAGCGGTGGGCCCCACCGGTGTAACCGTGCCATTTGGAAAACTGCATTGTGGGTAAAATAATTCAAAATGGCGGACAAAGGACGAAAAGTTTGTTCAAGAATATGTGGTTGTTCTTTGTGGCTTCTGTTCAGCTGGTAAGCTTATGTTGAACTCCTTGTACTAACACCAAAGCTGTAGAGTACTTAAAAGAAAAACCACTGCAGATTCTGGAAGGATTTTTGAAATCGTTTTGTTTAATCGACCATTTTCCAGTGTTATGTAAGCTTAAGACTTTATTAAGCTTACGTCCATACAACTACATACGAGCAGATATGAGGCATGGCGATACCTGTGGTGTTGTTTTCTGCCTACAAAGCGTATTTGGTGGGGTTATAAGCAGGATTGTTTGATACGCAGTCTACCCTAAGCACTCTCATAATTACAGTAGTTGAAATTCGTCCCTTCTTTTCCATTAAAGCTATCGACTTGTCACTCACCAACAGATGTTTCAGATTGTGTCATATAAGTGTACATAGAGAGACAACTTAGCCCATTATTTTATTTAGGTTGTAGGCTTGTATCCAGAGAAGTCGATCCAGTGTGTGCTACCCTCTCGAACTGAACATTAATGGGCTGCCTATCTGCTCAAGCAGCTGATAATATATAATAAGCGTAGGTTAATATACCTCAGTGCCTTCCAAAGTAAAACATGTGTAATTTTCGTACCCATATTTAACCGAATATCCAAAACAATTCAAATTCTTCTGAACAGTTTGTAAGATGTTCTTTTGACTTCTGAACACTGCCAAAAATTCATGAAGTCTTCACAAATCTTCACTGTTTTCTAAGGTTACTTCAAGTAACTCAGTAACCTTAGAAAATAGCTGGTAGTTCATGATGCCATCACTGGTTTCCCATGTAAATGATTGAGGACTGAGGGCAAAAATTCCATGCTGGTGATGCATCATTAATTACTCAGATCTAGGTATTGCTGATTGGAAAATTTGTTCCAACCAATCATTAGCACTACCCCCCATTTTTGGTAGTGACACCATCAGTATGGAATTTCCACACTCATTCCTCAAATGCCCTTTAATGGGGAAATCACATAGTGGCGTCACAAAATTTTCTTGGCTGTTTTCTCAGGCTATTAACAAATATGCTCTGATGACTTCTGAATGTTGCTCAATTTAGCAGTACAAAAAGCAAAATCGTGGCACCAAATTGCCGAGATCACACATATTGTGGCTAGATTACTGAGGCAAGGTTTTGTGAGGTCTTAATATAGCTTAATTATTACTAAGGACTCAAACATGACATTTAGCTTTTAGCACCATTCATTGGGTTATTTTGGGTGGAAATTGAATTTATTTTTTCATGTTAATGGTCACTGAATAGTTAAAGTAGTCTTGAATTATGCGTTATGTTTGGAATCAAAGTTTTTGATCTCAAGGCAAGGAGTGTGACACATGCATACACTGTAATACATGTGGTTGGGTGGTATTGGTTAAATTCCAGCTGCACATTTAAATTCTTATACCAGTTACTCTCAAAATGTAGATTAAGGTTAATCATAATATAGAGAAATATATGAGTGCAGGACTAATCATTACCTACTTTTTCACGTAACAATAATCTGCAGGTTTGATCTGGCAAACTGTTTTGTAACCAGGTACATTTCTGTTCTTTGAAAATTAAGTGTGAACATCATGACCCACAGGGGGCACACCAAAATGAGGATGATCAAAGGATGCTTTTTGTGTGTTTTCTTGTTATTTTTGACAGTTTTTCAGTCGAGCCTCAAGAAATACCACTTCCGGACACATTCATTAATCCTGCATTTCAAGTGGCACATCATTTATGGTAAGTAAACTTAAGTTCAAATTACTTTAATTTTTTAAAATCATGGGAAAAATGGTATCATTTAAGGCATTGTGGCCAGTGTATTGAAGTGCTTTTGTCACAGTGAAATGAATATTGTTGTTGTAATTGACTGGCTTTGTCCTCTCGCTGTTTGAGGAGGTGTAGGGCAGTAATGAGAAAATGAGAATTGATACAGGTACGGGTGATGGTTTTGGCCTTGTTCCATGACATGTTGTGTACTTACAGACTGCTGCAGGCAGGACTTTGCTGTGCAGGAGATCTAGAGCTCTGACAATCATGATCTAGATCTCAAAGTTATACTCCTTGGTTAATATATTGTTTATCATAATTTAACTGTAACCCACATAAAACAATAAACCTACTTGATCACTCTTGGCTTAACAGGTTCTTGTATTTTTGGGTATTAAAGTGTCAAATTTCTGACAAGAGGTTCTTAATCCACTAGGTTCTTATTTGTGGGTATTTACTGTGTCCATTATAGAACTTAAGGTAGCAGGGGTACATGTGTTACAAGTCAAAATTATATTCTGGTGAAAATTTTTCAACCTAGGTTGATTCTCAATCTCTTTTGTCTCTTAGTCCTAATTCATGAATAATTAGGGCTAGGAGACAAAATAAAGAATTAACGTAGGTTAAAAAGTTTTAACCTGAATATAATTCTTGCCTGTAACGTATATTTTATACACAGCTGTTGAATTAACCATTTTTCATTTTGTTACCGGCACATACATGTCTGTTAATCGACCAGCAGAAAAAAATAGAAATAATTTATAAGGGGAACATGGGGTTTACGGTATCGTGGTTTTGAGCTTTTTGAGCTCTATTTATCGGTAGTTTTGATTTTAATGTACGGTATTGCGGTATCATGTAGCCCTGCGGTCGTGGGTTTTTTTTATCCTTTTGACTAACGGTATTAAATAAAAAAATTGTTAAAAAAAGATCTTTCACAGTATTGCGGTTGTGGTACTGTTTCATTTGCACTCTCCTGTCTAATGCAGGTCAATATTTTTAAGACTTCAGACTTAATGGTAAATGATTGCCCAATTTCTGTCTTGGTTGGTATCCAAGACCATCCAATGACCAGCTTTTAGATGGTTGTACTGATCAAATCAAGGTCTTCTTATGTTTTCTCGCAATGGCTGAGGTTGGTTGCTGGACTTGTGAATAAACAACACGCGAGATGATTACAACTTTAAGTAAGCATGACTGATCGTAAATGTGGTATCGGGATTTCATTGATTGTCAACACGGTATTTTGATATTTGTCAATTTTTCTCACGGTATTGAGACTATTTGGGGTACCGCCAATGTCCCCTTCATTAACGATAATAAAGATATGGTGTTGTGTTGTGGTGTTCCAATCCTCGTGATCTTTTACCATGATCACTTTTGCTTTCAGGGAAGGAAAGACAACACAAATAATTAAAGAGCTAAACAAGGTGCACAAGCCTTCATATATTTTGGCCACCCCACAGCACACTTTGTACATTTCAAGGTGAGAATTCCATCAAGTGCTTTATACTTAACCCTGGGAGATACATGGATACTTGTAAAATGATACAGCATAAAATGGATTTCTTAGTGTTATCTTGAACAAAAGAGGATAGTAAAACACACTGTAATCTAAGAAATCAGGGATCCTTAATTGCTTGGAATATTATTTTATATGAAATCCATGGTGCCCAGTGCATGAGTTTTTTGGACAAGCTTCATGTAAGATTTCCTAGGCATCTAGGCAGTTTGTCATTACCATGAAAACCAAAATGATTGTTGACATAACTTATACCCAGAATTAGTTAATGCTTTCAGCAACAGCTTTGCACTGCTTCATTTGGTGCAGAGAGCTAACAGCCCACATAGAAAAGTTTGCTCCATCTGTAACATGGCACTAATGATAACTTGATTTCATTTTCCTCTTTTTTATTCACTTATTTAGCTTTCTGTTAGACCAGGTAAGCTTATTGTTTTCGTAATTTTAAGTCACTTCTGATGATTATATCAAGTGATAAAGTTTCCATGCTTTCTTGTATCCTGAAAGTTTGCTTAAATTAGTTATATCAAGGCAGCTGATACCAACAAGTTGTGAGAAATCCCTGCATTAATTAATACAGTCAAACCTTGTTAATAAGGACACTGTGGGGGCCATAGAAAGTGTCAGTATTAACAAGGTGTCCATAAAGCAGGTTGAATTTAGAGAAAATGTGAGGGCCTGCTTTCTCCAGGCACAAGAAAAACTGTCTGTAATAATGAGGTGTCCTTATTAAGCGGGTGTGTATTTGTGTCAATAATTGTTAGTCTGTTTAAATTATCTCTAATCCTTAACATCACAGGTGTTGTTTGTAGCAGACACAAGGCAAACAGGGACTCCTGCTGTTACATTTACTCAGGGGCATGGGCTGGATGGACCATGGGGAATGGTAGCTGGTAAGAATCAATAACAAACTTCTGTTGCTGGTAGATCAACTACAAGATTCCTTCTAATACAGAACATAGAGTTTTGCAGTCAGTAGCCCACCTGTGTAGCAGGTGCTTGAGAAATTTATGGTGCAAATAATATTGCCTCCGTCACAGTCCTTTATAATATAAAATAACTAAGACATTCTGTATGTATACACAGTAGACAGTATGATTTTCTAAGACGCACACAAGCATACATGTATGTAAACACAGTAAAATTAAACTGTCGTGATGTCAAGATGTTTTGTTGTGCATGCATTAATTACGCAAGCACAAATTTGAAAAAGTGTTGTTACTAGTTTGATGATAAAATCCACTGGTGACTGTCATTGCTGCCACTTACATGTACTTCCTAATGTGGCAGTCACTCAGGGACTAAACCTCATAGTTCTATATTTTGTATGAATTTTTTGTTGATACTTGCAAAAATCAGACTTAATGTAATATTACTGGATTTAATATTATAACGAAATCTCTTTCAGATGACAAATACTTGTATGTTGCAAGTTTTACTACAGATCAAATACACAAGTATGACCTTCAAACAAAAAGGTGGGTCTAAATTCTTTCTTACGTTTACCAAATAACTTGGTGATAGTTTTTGCAGTCTGTCCACAAATATGTGAAAGTAATGGAAATGTTGTAGTAAATTTTTTATCTCAGGTATTTTTTTTTCTTTTGTTTTTTGGGTATGGTAATGTGTGCTAATGAAGTTGAAAGTCTTGGAAAAGAAAAAGAAAAATTACATGAGATAAAAAAATTAGCTACAGCAGAGATATAGCAAGAGCGTAATCGCAGGTTAATTGCTCCCTGCCGCTGGGGACATTTTGCGAGATTCAGGGCATTGTACGTTTGATTTTTCTGTCATTTTGTCTTTTACCTGTCATTCGCAAAAACAGCTGGAAGAGTACAATTATTACATTGACCAATCAGAGCTCTTGACCAGACTCTGAACCGATATTTACGTCATCAGCCCTCTCGTCATCAGTCACTTGTGTTCAGTGTTTTGAGGGATATTTAAGTTATTTGTCAAGGAAAGCAGGGACGAAGGAAGTAATGGGAAAGGGAGCAAAACTCCTCGGGGAGCGGGGGGCGGGGGGTACTCCTGGGAATTCTTGGTGGGGGTCTGCTGCCCGGTTCTCCAAATCCTGATCCTATTTCAGACGAAAAAAAGTCATTTTTCCCACCTGTTTTCAGACCAGACCTCTTCAAAATTATGTCATCATTACTTAGATACAGCAACAAAAAACAGGGTTGTCACTAAGATTTCAAGTTGCCAGGAAAATACAACAAGTAGGCAGGGAATCAAACAGCTAGGGATTTCTTTTGGTTCTATTTTTCTTCTATTTGCCAATAAAAGTAGCAGGGTGTCACACTCATAGTAGCCGGGGGAAATCCCCGGTCCCCGGCTCTTAATGACCACCCTGAAAAATATTTCTTAAAATCTATTTTGAATTCGCGTATTTCTCTCTTTTTCTTACTGATGTGGAATTGAAATGATAAATACGTTCACACACTCCTGTAGTTCCCTCTAAATCCATACCCGATTCCAGACCAAAATGGGCAAAGTCTGTACCTGTTTTTAGACCAAAATGGCGCAAAAACCCTACCCTTTGGGGTGGCACATACTTCTATGGCTTATAATTATAAGGGAGTATGCCCCCCACTCCCCCGGAAGAACTTCCCCCTAACCTTTCTCTCCTTTTCTTTCCCATTATTCCTCGCTCACACTCTGCATTCATTCCCATCATTCTCCAATCGTGCTTCTCGCTCCTTTCCAGCTCCCCTTTTAACAGACCCTGCTTGGGAAGGCTTGTGGAGGAGGCGGTATTATCAGTATAAATTTGTCTGACTCACTAAACGTCTCAGTGGCGGGAAATGATAGGCTGTAATTGCAGGTTAATGCATATTGAATTTTGAGATGACATTAATGTGCACAGGTTTGTAGGTGCATTTGGTAATGAGAGTTACCTTGATTGCCCTGAGGGAATGGCTCTTGGTCCTAACAACACACTTTATGTGGCAAGCTTTCTTGATGACAGGGTGGTGAAATTTTCCTTACCTGATGGCGCATTTCTGGGCGTGGTGAGTTTCCAGCGTGATGCCATATGTTTTTGTTACCTCAGGACTCAAAAAATGTCCCTTTCGGCACTGAGTTCTGGGGTACTCACCATGTGACGGAAAATTTCGGAAATTCAGGACGGAAGGTAAATGGTAAGGTCACTTTTCGGAAATTTCAACCGAAAATTGAGGAGTACGTTTTGAGGTAGTCCGTTCATTACGGTTGGTACGAACCAAACGAAAATGTTGCTTACCATTTACCAATTTCTCGGTTCCTTCTCGGTTCCAGACTCACGCTACTCAAATTCGTGCCTTTTTTGGATTCAAACCGTAACGGATGTGGCAATTCTGCGGTAAACTGGTAAATCGCTTACCATTATGCTTTCGACACCCCAACTGGATTTTTCTGTCAAATGGTAAGCACCCTGGACAGGCAGATTTTCCTGCTGGGCAAGTAACATATAAAGCTCACTCGCTCAATGGGTAAGGGTCCAGGCAAGATATCCTCCAACTAAATCATTAACTAAGACAAGCAAGTAGTTGCCCCGGGCAAACAAAATGTGAGAACTGCTCTTCTAAAGGACATGCTGGAATTCAAGGTTTTTTCGAACCCTGCGCATGCACCTATCTGAATTTCTTCACATTTGACAGTGATGACTTGAAGCCGTGAAAACGTCATAAAACGTTTGAACTTTTGACTTTTTTTCTTACAGGTTGCTGACAGAAGCCATGGTCTTAAAGGGTAAGAGACGATATAAAACGTTACCTTGGATAAAAATTTATTACGTTTTTAAACAGGCTTCATTAAGGGGGAGTGAGAAAGGAGGTAGGAGGTAAAGGCGTTCTTTCGCAGTCTGTCCCTAGTCCCCTCTGATTGAACCGGACTCCTAGCATAGGCTAGAAAATTTGCAAAGAACGCGATGCATAAAGAGGAAAATGGATGTAAATTTTGAGTTCATTAATTAAGTGGTGTTTTTAGTGGTAAATTTAAAAACTCATGCGGTAAATGTACATGTATGTCATGGTACTGGTCAAGCGGATTCTTGCAAGTGGTCGCCTACGACTCTAAAACACGTCTGTTCTGCAAATTTTCATCGGTGCGTAGGTTCTTGGAAGATTTCCAGAAGATGCAGTGACCAAATTTGAACAATTTTCAGCTAAAGCAGCTTTTTGCGGTTTATTTTTTGTTAAACTACTTTATTGCCTCAGTCGAAAAAAAAAAATGGCGTTTTATTTCACCAAGTGTATCTTTTGTAACAGTTTTGGGACGGAAACGAATAAATGTACCATTAAGATTCTGATCTCTTAGACTGGGTCCTTCTGGTAAGGGAAATATTAAGTAGATAAATAAAGGGTTCGTAACTCCTGACCAACAAGAATATATCTTTCGTTTTCAGACCCGAGGATGTCGCGCTTTTACCTGATGGTTCACTGCTAATTTGCAGTCATTACACGGATGCGGTGATACGGTTTAACCCCTCTACTGGTTAGTAAAATAGATCGACATCGTCAAGCCAGGGGGATGGGGGTCCTTGCTTAAAGGCCGGTTTTCTCTAGTGACGGAATGGGAGACTTAATCGGACTCGTAACAGTGAGTTGATGTAAAAATACTTCGCTGTGGTTAATTGGAGTTTTGTTTTAAGAAAACCGACTGAAGGCCACTGAAAAGCCTTATTTGACTGATTTCTTAATCGTGTTATTTGCAGGTGAGAAGCTGGGTGTTTTTGCCAAAGTGGAAAAACCAGTTGGTTTGACCGTGGGCTCAGATGGGTGAGTTCATATAAGCAAGAATCGTTCGTAAAGAAGGCAGAGAAATTACTGCAGTGTCAACTTTCGGCAATTCATCACATTAACAGGCTTATAGTAGTTGCCACTCGATGGTTTAAAGTTTCAGTGTGTGTTTAGGTTAAGTAGGTAGACCCTCACCGGCTGAGAGGCAAATAAACTGTACTCTTGAAAATCGGGGCTGTGTTCATGCTACAGCTGATGCTATACCGGATAGCCGCTCTTGCGCCGGCGCGAATTCCTGTCGTACCGGATAGAGCTTCTGTTCAATAAATTTCGGCGTGATTTCTGTAACGGAGCGAAGCTACGCCCACGCCGATCTCGAAAAGAGGAACGTCACATATAGGATAGGTTGTGATCCACCATAGTCTGCTACACAGCCGTTTATAGTGTCGTCACGCAACGCTCCTCCCCAAGAGGAGCAGGAGCGTTGCGTGACGTGACGACACTAAAAAAGGCTGTGTAGTAGACTAGTGTGCCACACTGGTGTAGTGTGAACAGGTATTCGGACAATAGAGGAAGTGAATAAGTAGGAGCGAGGACTGGAATAAACTGAGAAGGAAAACATTTACTAAACCCTTTTTGGTCAACCGCCCCGGCACGATATTCAATATGCGTGAACGTCTTGTTCCAGTTCTGTGCTGTTGCTGTTCATAATGTACCGGATAAGGTTTGAACATAATCTGAGCTCGAAAGATCAACTTTTGATTTTTTTTTCAGTATAGTGGTGAATTTGCCTTATCCGCAATGCAGCTGATAAATAAAACTTTCGTGTTCAAATTACTCATCAACACAAATGTATAGTAGCATCTCTCTGTATTGTAATTGCTCTAGCTTGAAGAATGTAATTATCAGCAAGTGGTTAAATCTGATGCCGAGTAACCCACATAAGTTGTTCTCATTTCTTATTCCACAGAAACGTGTACGTGACAAGTTATGTTACAAATAGTATCCTTCGGTTTGACGGGCAAACAGGTTGGTTCATAGTAACACGAGACAAAGTCAGTCCTGCTAGGCTTGAGATAATCTGTTAACAGATAGGCCAACGCCCAGTGGATTTCAGAGCGAATTCTCTGCTCCATCCTTTGTGGCTTAGTGCTTCGCGGAGCAACATTCGTATGTGCCCAATACTATCTGACCTCGCCGCAATTTGCCACTTCAATTTTGCCACTTCCTCTCTGGCTTCGTAGCTCAGTTGGTAGAGTGATGGTACATTTTACCGTACGACTCGGTTGCCGCGCGTGGTTCCCTGATACCCGCTCTTTACAGGTGACAACGTTCAGTTAGGTTTATGGGTTATAAAAAAAGCAGTTCACTTGTCTGTCCCATCTGCTGTTTTACAGTTAGTCTAACGATAAGAAGCGATCATATTTGCCGTTGTTTTAATCCTTTCGTTCTTACTGACTCTTCCCTGTCTATCCGAGGGTGGTTTTCGCTAAAAACAACAACAACAACAACAAACAAACAAACAAAGGAACTAGTTACGTGATAAACAGGGCCGACTTGATCGAAGGACGATTTAGCGCCGCAAATCCCGGCTTAGTTACCACGACAAGTCAATTGCTATGGTTTCAGTTAACCAAGACTGAGAATGATTCATTCTCTCTCTCGAAATTGAAAAAAAGAATTATATATGAATTATTAGTTATAAATCTTGTAGTAAATAGTTATATTTCTTCACATGTCTGATATTATTTTTATACTTATTGTTACTTGTACCATACCTTATATTTTGTCAACTCAGTCTATGTAATTAAGAGCCCAATGTCTATAAGCCTCATGGTTTCTTTTTGGGCTTCCTCGCCACTTTCATTTGCTTTTGTGTAACTGTCTTGTTTTATCGTTATTTGTATTTTGTGGTAAATCAAATAAAGTTACAAAAGTAGTTAACCGACCGGGCGCCGAACAACTCGGCCCAGGGTCCTGTTTCTCGAAAGTCCCAGTAACTTTTCGGGACCGGGAAGCTTTTCTGCGTTGGTTGTGTTTGCATTCAAGATCAAAGTTTCAATAATTTGAAAATAATAAATGAAACTATCAGTTAACGAAGCAAAATTGACTGGTTTGTGGACTAGGAACTGGGCTACTTTTCAACAGGTTTTTATTTTAAAATTTGCCTTCGGGTCCGAAAAGTTTCCGGGCCTTTTCCGAGAAACGAGCCACAGGCTATTGGGAGCTCCCAGTTGTTCGAAGACCGATTAGCGCTAACCCTGGGCTAAATTTTCAGGTTTTTATTTCTTTTGTTCAAAAGCATTTTTCAGAATAATTTTCTCGATTCTTTTTACAGCATCAAATCATCCAATTGTGGACAAAAAGAATAAAACTGAATTTGCTTTTTAAACTTTCATATCTGAATTAAAATTTGCACTAACCCTGGGTTATTTTAACCCTGCTTTGAACAACCCAGCCCAGGAGCTAAACGCCTCGCGAGCAAACCACTCCAATGTACAGTTAAGTTGTCCAAGCGAAAATTTACAAATAAACCCTTTCTGTTGTAGGCGAGTTTATTGATGTTTATGCTGCTGGCGGTGGACTAGAAGGACCATCAAGTGTCAGGTAAATGGGAAAAAAGCTCTTGCAGCCAGTGAAGTGCCGTGACCCAATTGATTTCGTAAGATTCTTCCAGTTGCCGGAAAGATTTTTATCCCCATAAAAGAAGACCCTCAGTGCGTTGTCTCTCACTCAGGCGTTGGTTGTTGTAACGTAATGTCTGTCAGCCAGCGGGAGTATTCGCATTGAATATTCCGCCGGTAGCTGATTAAAATCACGCAGCTAGCAAGAATTGTACCTTAATAAAGTTTTTACCAGCCAGCTAAAACTCAGCCTGCGAAACGGATATTTTGTGGAATTGCTCCATTGGGTACTTCTAAGTGTTCTTACGTTTAGATTCTAAGACGAGAAGAAGTAGGAAATTTTCTCAATTTCAAGTAGGGCGTGAGCGTGAACCAGCGTCATTTTGACGGGAAAATATGGAAGCCGTCGTCATTCTACGACGAGTTTTAGCGAGAATGTCGTAGTGGCGGCGGAAACAAGTTTAAAAGTCGAAAGTTTTATCATTTTTGCGATCGGGAGAGGGCTTAACCCCTTTAATTAAGATAACAGTGCTAACTGTTCAGGTGAATCAAAAGTACAATGAAGTTTTCCGGGTTGTCTATTTTTTGAGAATACGCGAGAAAACTTTAAGTCAAAACTCGTACTCGTAGTCGTTCTCGTCCTTGAATATAAAGGTCTTTAATAGGACCTAACGTGCACCCACAGTTTTATTATGAAACTGACGTAACTTTTTGATGTCTCTTTTGTACAGTTTTGCTGACCTGCGAACTCTTTACGCAGCCAGTTATGATAGCGACCGAGTAGTGCTGTATAATAGTACCTCAGGACTTTCTTACACTCTTCCTGGAAAACGAAATGAGCGGCCTGGAAATGGTATGTAGAATTATGACGTAAGATCCATTTTAGTAGCCTCCCATGCAGACGTTCTTAGGAAGGCGTGAACGAACCCCTAAGAACAGGTCATGACATTCCTGGTTGTACAGTGACTCGTTCATACCCGTTTTAATTCTGATATAGGAGTCAGATATTTTTTGCAGGAAATTTCTCAAGTATTTGGCTAATCTGCGACAAAGCTCTCCCTTTATGGCGAGCGCAGCGAACCGCGAGAGAACTCGCGTCTCCTTTCGCGTGCTGCTCTCGCGTGACTTCTCGCAACTCCCCCAAATAGACAGCCGGTCCACGCACTCGTCTAAACCATTTGTATAGTCCGTCGACGCTCTATACAGAAGGTTTACAGCGTCTGCGACGCAGGCAAAAGAATTCCTAAAGATTGCGTAAAGCTTTTCTTAGGTTAGCCTGTTCCAGGCTCCAAGGTAGTGGGAAAAGCGGATCGAAACAAGTTGCGCAAAAACGGCGTGGTGGCAGGGGAGAGACTGTTTGCTTGCTTTTTCCGCTCATCCGCACTGACCGAGAGCCTGGTACGGGCTAGTCCATAACGTCAGCCTTAGATCAAGACAAATACCCATCCCCTCCTGTGTTAGTGTAAGTAGGGCAGGAGGTGTTTATATGTAAACTAAGGCTCATCGAACAATTCCGAATTTTTTCAAATGTCATTCATTATTGTTATTGTTGTCTTTCAGGTTCTTTCAGGAATACAACCCGAGACAGATAACGATTACTGACTATTTATTTTCCAACGAATTTTAAATCAGCAAGTAATACTATACCACGAATTTAGCATAATCTGTCAAAGATTTTCAAGAGAGAATAAAGAACGGCCCTTTTTCTTCTTTTGGGAATTTTCATCATGTTTATAGTTCATGTACCTCTGTGAGTGGTAGATGTACTAATTTTAGCGAACAAAGTCGTGTTTTACTCACATTCACTCACTCCGATATGTGCTGTCGGCCTAACAGAATACATCACACTTTTAAAAATCGTTCAACAATTCTTCTTTATTGTGGAAACATAGTTTATTTAATATTTTTCAGTCCCTTGAAAATAAGTAAATAAATAGGATTCCATCGATTAGTCCGGTGTTTTAAAAATTTTATCGCAGTTTTTGAACTGCCTTATGGCGTCCGTGCTTCTCAATAGCTTTCTTTCACGGATTATTTTATACGTTCATACGAAAATGAACGGTATGAATATAATTTAAAACAATTTAATAACATGACCAGTTCTCCTCTAGCTCGAGTGGCCCTAAAAGTGATCGGTATTAAATATCCCCAGCAGCATTACTGTTTATTACGAGTTTATTCAATCAGGGAGGTAATGAGAATAAATATGATAGTCAGGATAATCCTCTCAGCACAAGCGATGTTTCCTTCGTTTTTATAGGTGCGTTTTGAAGTCACCCGCGTAAAGAAGCTGCGTTTCCATGGCGATGGGTTGCCGCGAAATCGCCTATGTTTTAGAATTCTGATGCCACTCGTTGGAAAATTACTACGGCACGAGTTGCCAAAAACAAACTTTGGGTCTCTTAGTGGATCAGACCTTAATAAGATACGCCTTATGCTGCTTGAGAAATTGCATTAAAAGTCAACAAGAGATGGTCACGAATTTGATGGCCAACCAATTTGGTGACCAATCTTATTCATTCAAAATGGCTGTTTTTAAGAGTGTTTTTATAGGCCTCGGCTTCATCTCCACAAAACCCAAAACCATAACCTAGCCTAGTTGTATTGTAACAGGAAAAAACGCATCTAGATGGACGAAAGCTAGGGTTTTTTAAGTTCCATTAATCGTATACTTCGGCATTTACTTCGTTTACCGGACACAGATCACGTAAAACAAAAGAACGAAACACCAAGCAGATTTTTCCCTGAACAGAAAACAAAGAGGTCTTTTGTTTTACGTCATCCTTATCCGGTACACGATGTTTTGACCTAGGGCGCTTTTCCATTCAACAAAAATTCCGGTTTGAAATTTCGGAAATTTCACGTGCCAATGAAACTGTACATATCCGTTGCACGGACCCCACCCAAGCCACCGCGCATTTGGTTATTGTTCTTGTCATAATACAAAGGAGCGGTACTGGGGACAACGATTTTGTCAAAGGGAAAGAGGCATTTCGGTCCGACCGACCGAAATGACCAGTCCGGTCAAAGTGGACCACCTTCAAAGCTGGTCCTGAATATTCTGGTCGGACCAAACCGAAATGGTCCGTTCCATTCGATGTACCAACCGAAATTTCCGGAATTTGGGGTTGAATGGAAAGCCCCCCTATACTTCGCAGAACGAAGGTTTGCCGGGATTTCGATGGCCCCTCGATCATTTTAGCACGTTACACTCGGTAGTCGTATAGAGGGCCATTTCTTCAATGGGTCTAGTTAGGTAGGGCCTTTATTAGGGACCAGTTGAATGACCACGTTCTATTAAGTCCTTGGGATCAGATTGAATCTCGGCAGCAGGCTCTATCGGCAGGTCTGGGTTATTTTGAGCCACTTGCTTGTACGTGTGTGTAATGGCGGCTACAATGAAAAGACAATACAATAATTCAGAAAACTAGCTTATAAACAGGTGTTTGAAATGAAAATCAATAGCGAATAAAATAAAATAAAAAAGACAAAAGGATTCAACCAGGAACGCCTGATACTTGCCCTTCATAAGAAACCCACAATACCCATGTATAGGATTGCCAAGGGCTATACGAGCCGTGCTAGTCGGTACGTAATAGAGTGTAGGGAGAGAATTAGGAATGCTATTCACATTCAGCGGTGTGTACGGGCAAGTCCAAAAAAGCGATTAAAAACATATGACGAGGGACGTTGCATCTCATTTTCTAAGGAAAATACGCGTCATCTTTCAAAGGAAATTTCACTTAGTTACACCGTGACCTCTGAAACAAAGTTAAATCCGCGATCACGCTTGTAAAGTAGTCTCCCGCTAGAATCCCAACTTTGTTTTTTCCAGGTCGAAAGATTTGTTTCTGTTTCAATTCTACAGGAACTTTCTACAGAAACGCTTAACAATGGTTGTAAAAAGAAAAAGAAAAGAAAAATAAAAAACAATAAAAAACCTCTGTCGATGAAGTCAGTGAAACGTAATGGACATAAGTCAAGCACCAAAACTTCAAAACAACTGAAGATTTTCACTTTGTTATGGCAAAAAAAGCTGCTTAACAAAGGATAGTTTTTTTTACACGCCTTTTTTAAATTCAACCAGTACAACATTTACTACCCCTCAAAGACAACAAAATTATGAGAATTTTATTATGGTGTTGAGTTATTTGTCTTATTTTCATAACGGTGACTAAAAGCTTCAATAAATCTGACATAGCCTTTGATAAGGTGAGAAAAGATTACAAACAGGACGCCAATCACACTCGTATTGACCGCGGGATATGGAGGATAATACAAAGGGCGGGTGAAATATTATTAATAATTAAACGCACGCGATGAAGCAATTATTGTATTTTCATACGCTGCTAAGATCCGATATATGTTGAAATGAATTGTTGAAATGTAAATAGTTGAAAGGGGCTTTTTTTGATGACTGTCACGACCTTACCACTTAGTTTGGTGGAAAAATAATCAAGCACACGATGCCGGACGCCCACTAACACGCGATGAGTATATTGCTGCATAAACCGTAACATATTCACTTATAATTGCACCAACGCAATAGCTTGGGAGACGGAAAAGCTTTACAGAAAAAACACTAAAAGCGCATATCGATGACATTTCAAAAACTCACACACCCACGTAAAACATAATACTCTGGTTTCTTTCTGGCAAGTTACAAGCCATTAAAAACTGTCACAGCTTACTTTCAATACTTCAATTATTTTCTTCTAGTTGTTTTTTCCTTTTCTACAGAGCAAAGGCATAACGAATCTCCTTTTAATTTCTTTTTCCTTTTTTTGCATAGGAAATTGGGATATAATATTGCTAGTGAGGTTGTACAATCTACTTGACCCGTTAAAAGATTTCGGATGGATGAAAAATTAGTCACACATGTTGAAAACAACAAAGGATGAAAGGACAGGTGTATTAAAGGCCCGAGGGAAACTCGCTATAATGCCTATACGGGGACTCGGAGGCCCCGCCCTAAAGGAGTTTCTTTTTCAGGCCCAAAATAAGTAAGTAGGTGAGCAAGGGTGGCGCAGTGGTGAGAGCGCTCACCTCCCACCAATGTGGCCCGGGTTCAAATCCCGGCGTCGACGCCATATGTGGGTTGAGTTTGTTGTTGGTTCTCTCCCTTGCTCCGAGAGGTTTTTCTGCGGGTACTCCGGTTTTCCCCTCTCCTCAAAAACCAACACTTCCAAATTCCAATTCAATCTGGAACGCACGGACACGTTTAAACGAGTTCATATGACCTTCTACGTGCTTCGTGGGTAAACAAGCTTTTATTTTTATTTTTTTTTATTTTTACGCTTTTGAGAATAGGTAGTGTGATTCTTCAAGGTCAAAATTCCACATTCTTTATAAAACATAGGACTGGATGTTAAAACTGGACATGTTCTTCTTATTTTTGTTTTAATTTTTTATCTATTAGCAGATCAGGAAAAATGTTTCCTGATGTCTTTTATCCAAATTAAAGGAAAAAATCTGCGAAGAATGGCTTTGATCTGAATTGCCTCCCTTTATATTAGACCTAAAACTTAAAACTTTCGGTCAGGGCTTAAAAAGCGTCAGGAAAATAAAATAAAGAGAAAGAGAGTATTTTGCTTGACAGCTTTCAATTAGTGCGCTCGCGATAGAAGGCGTATAAACGAGAGGGTATTTGGGAGGGAAGGGTTTGGAGGGAAGGAAACAGTTAATAGGGACCTTAAGCTTTCTGCAAAAACTCGCTGCGTGCAGTTGGCCTTCACTCCGGAAGAGGGAAAAATATACGGAACTGCGATTGTTTGAACATAACGACTCAAAGAAAAGAGAAAATTTCTGCTATTACCCGAGAGTTTCAACAAAACCGCTCCCCAATGATGCAAAAAGTCCACTTCCGGTTGACGTCCGTCGTTCAAAAACGCTGTTGTTTAAGCTCCCTAATATGGCATTCCGCACCGAGGGGAGGAGGGGTCAAGGGCGTCAATATCTGGGTCAGTAGTTCATCACTAAACTGCTTGAGGCAGTCATTTCGTTAGTCTGCTACACAGCCGTTTTTAGTGTCGTCACGTAACGATCCTCCCCACTAACGGCTGCTGAAAACCGAACCACATTCCTTTCCCGCGATTAGCCAATTAGAATTCAGCTTCCATTTTCTGGAAGGTGTTCGCGCCACGTTTGCGGAAGGTGGTTCGGTTTTCAGCAGCCGTTAGTGGGGAGGAGCGTTGCGTGACGACTCTAAAAACGGCTGTGTAGCAGACTATCATTTCGTGTGAGAGTATTTGTAAGAGTATCCAGGACATTATTGCGCAGTTCAAAAGTACTTAAAACATTAAGCATGCTCAACTTACAAGATTTCCTTCTTGATGTTCGCATAGAGGACGACCGAGCAGTGGAAGATGACCTACTAAATGAGCGTCTTGATATAGTGCTGAGGCGAGTGATAGCGGACCTGAACATGCCTTCCTCGGATGGTTTAAAGCAGGAAAAGACCTTTCCAAGGGAAGATGCATAGCCGTCCCGGTATTTACTCATAGTCCACAGACAGACACAGTGATTTATTAGAGGATCCAGGGTTGTTAAGACCAACACCACTTGATCAAAATACTGGTTATGCCAGTTGAAAACGTATAAGATGAGAATGCGCATCTACAAAATGAAACGGATCAAATGTTGTAAGTTACACCTGGCTCAGTCGCTTCAGTCGCTCTACGTAAGAGAATCCGGATTCCGAAATTAAAAAAAAATTCTGCTTTTGGAATCCGGAATCCGGGAAAATTTTTGCTCGTGGAATTACAGCTCAGGAATGCGGAATCCAAGTTCCACTGACAAACACTGGAACTATGGAATCCAGAATCCAAGCCGACTGTCTTGGATTCCCTTACAAGGTGCAACTTTAGGAACCAACGGGAGATGCGTCGTTGTACAGTAACTCTCCTTAAGACGGATATCACTGTCGTTGTACAGTAACTCTCCTTAAGACGGATATCACTGAGAACCAAGTGTTTTTTCTTACTAGAGACGGAAAAGTCGCCGACCTTATAGAGGGGCAAACAAAATTATTATCACAACAGACATGCAGTTGCTTCTAAGCAATAATAATAAGAGTCTTGCGCTGTACATTAAAGAACTGCTCACCGGTATGAGTCTATATTGAAAGAGATACATTTACTTCTTGGAGTAATTTTAAATAAAAGCATATAAATGCGCTTTGGGGCGCGCATAAAACACAATTTGTCGTAAGACGAACGACGTATCAAACTGCTTGTTCGACCAAACGTAGTTGGAGAGTACATAGAGTTTTTCCTTCATTTTACCCCTTTCCTTTTGGCGTGTTTTTTGATCGTTTTATCGAGTTACGGAGTTTTTATGCCGGCGTATTGTCAGTCCAAATAAGGAACATTTTACCTTATAACATAGGTTGAATATTTACCAGAAACTCACAAGGGTCTCTGTATTCACCTAGTCAAATTCAATAGCGCGAGCGTGCTTCATATTTCCATTGAGCACGCTGATGACGTCAATACACTATACCTGGAGTTCTTGAGAGCTTAGCAATCCATCCAAGACGTCTCCCAAGTGCATCCATAACTCAACAGTACACGATGAAGCGTTCACCATGTGTTTTATAACGTAAATTTAAGAGAAAACTTTTGAATTTGGTAACAGATAGTTGGGAAATATGACTAAATGCACAATTAAGGATCATTTAGATCCCGGACTGCTTGAAGCTGAGAAGCTAAGTGACGAAAACCACGTGAGTGCAACATTTTTTGCCTAGGAGATTTAAGCGGCTTTTAGAACATGCAATTAATTATCAAAGGTGTTGGTGTTTACTTTATTTTTGCTGTATCTCTATGAAAGAGAATCGTTCCACAGTTTGAGACTGAGTCACAGTCATTCACTCATACAGATGTGGCTGTGATGTGTACGGGTCTTCTAAGTGTTTTGTGAAAAGAGTGAAAGTTGTTTTTGTATATAATTTTTTTCTTTTTTTCAATTAAAATGTAATTGCCTCGATTTTGTGCGAACGTGAACAAAGTTGGGTAAAGATTCTTGAGGAGGGCAAACCCCGGAGACAAACAACTCTACGCGATTTGATTAGAGAGAGATAAGTTAAGTGCCAGGCCGAGGATGGAGAAGGCTCTTGTACGACTCTTGTATTTACACTAGAATGTAAACCTGTCCACACGGTTTATTAAACTAGGAAAAAATTCACAATACTGCCAATTTCAAACAGCAACCATTTTTCCAATATATGAAATTTCATGGATGTTAATTGCACTTTCTTCTCCGCCGCGGTCTAACAACTTCCTCATCGTCGTCGGCTGCGGGCGTTAGAATTAACCGTGCAGATAACTGACCCTGAAAAACGCAGCTTCGGAAGAGAGATATCGAAAGCTTAATATATACTGTTTCCGCTGTATGTGGCGGCACCTTAGTTGAAAAAGCTGCTAACAATAATAAGCCTTAAACAAAACCAAAATTCAGACATTACCAAACCGTTTTCGCAAGAGAGCAGTAAAACTGTGGCGAATGCCATTCTGTGATATTCAAGATGGTCCCATATGTTTAGTCTTAGGATGAAACCGGCGTCTCCCATTGGTCGAGAAGTTTTAGTGCTAAATGCGGGGGCGAAAGAAAGCAGCTACACTTCACAAGCTACCATCTACAGAGTTATTATGATAACTCATATAACACTAGCGAAGGCATTAAGTGCTTTCACTAATGAGTCAGACTAAAAGCAGTTTTCAGTCTATTTTCCAGTCAGGTTTTCTCTTTCTTCGCTTTACCATGGAGCGATCGGAAATTACTTCAACTAATGCACCAAAACGTAGGATGTTATATTGTTCGAGTTGTAAGTTGTACGATTATTAAGGCTAGAGTGTGGAGCAGGAAGGACGCCTTGATCTTATCTTTTTACAAATTGTGAATTTGCTAACGGCACTTCAGTCTGAAAATCTAGATATGGAAAAATAATAGCAAAGCAAAGTAGTAGTGCTAGATTGAAACCCGGGAGATCGGGTGCCCCTATCTCTCTCTCTTTTCCTAATCATCACATAGGCAGATAGAAATAGGCGAGAGCACTGGAGAAATTTAGCTTTGCCAAGAAATCTTTAAGCGTTTTAAAATGAAAAACAAAAAAAATCCAATAACACATTGAAATGGAACTATTTCAAAAAGCACTGCAATCCCGTGGTCCACTTTTAATTTTTTCTCGACTGGTAACTGGGGTTTTGAAAAAAATGGAGGCTGAATTTGGACACTTGATTTTTCAGCAACTGGGAGTTAGATTAGGTCGCGGGAGTTCTTTAAATTATAAAATATTAATAAATTCCCTCAACAAACAGCTAAGTATACAAATTATTTTGGTGATAAAGACTTAGCTACAGTGTAATTCCTAGATTGATTAAAACTGAAAGCAATAGCGTCAAAAAGTGCGTGCAGAAACTTGCGCTAGCTAGGACAATCAGACGATTACGTTGCTCAAAACAACAAGAACCGTGAACACCTAATTGCCAACTAACACACTGACATCGCATAAAAAAAAGAATTATCATAATTTCAATTTACGAAAGTGTGGTGAAAAAAAAAATCAAAGTACATTTATTTATTTAATGGTCTCAGACTTATCGACACGTTTCACTTCAGCGGGTAAAAACGCCGGGTACGACTTTAACGACTTCATACGACAGAAAATATTCACGATGTATTTAAAATTCAAACAGCTGCCAAAATAAGTAAATCGTGATAAAGATGGGCACAATTGGCCGCTAAAGTGATTTGGCTCGAGTTCACAGAGGTTTAATGTTCTTCTTTTTCTATGAATTATATACGACGCATCTTAGGAGACATAATTATGTCGAACCTTCATATCACGAAAACACATCATAATGCGTTAAAGAAACTCTAAAACGGAATAAATTTCAGTCAATTTTCCGGACGAGCCATTAATAAACTTCTGAATAAACCTCTTGGTCCACTGTTTTTAGGAAGCAAGCTTTAATGTTTCGCGATAGTTCACCCACTTGAGTTATCTTCAACCAAATTCGCGATGGCATCGTTTCCAAGGAAGCCTGGCTGATAAACGCGGCTTATTTAAATATTACAGCGATTGTTCCAATCGCCGAAACAGCTAAACGCGCCGATTATTCGACTGAAGAGCTTGTCTTTAAACTTCAATTTTATTCTGTGACGCAAGAAGAACAAGATTACCGATTTGTGCTGTTTCAGATAAGAAATACCTTGCGGATATAATTATTCTGTTGCGTTCTGTTTCATCATCAAACTCTAGGATTGGCTCTTGAGTAAACACTAACATTCATTTTCTCGACTCGCTTTTGTTTGAAGCTTATGTTTTCTCCACTTTACATCTGTTAAGAAGAACATTCGCAACAACCAACCAAAATATTAATTTTCACTGACCTTAGAAGTTTCATTTAATTGTCTTTCAAATTACGGTCGCAAAAAGAAAACAAAAATAAGGGAAGATCGCATCAGTATTAGTTTATAACTCTAAGGTATATATCGACAGAAATCCAAACAAATTAATGAAAGGTTTGGTCCCATCCACATTTACCTGCTGCCGTTACGCAATGATTTTCAATGATTTTTTCGTCGCAAGTTTTAAAAAGTTTATTGTTTCATCATTTCAATGAATATAGCAAGCCACATGCTTTTTATAGAACTAAAAAAAACCACCGTCCTTCTAAAGCCACCCTGATTTGTTTAAAACTATTTTTTTGGCGTTCTAAAACTCCCTGTTTTAGTCAACCAAAGATGCTGAATCCAACCTAAAAGAAACAAGTGAATTTTAAGACAAGATGTTTTATTTTTTCCTGCGTTTTCAGCTTAAATTTCCGGCCACTTGAAGCGAGGCAGCTTGAAGCTAAAAAGAAAAACGAAAGTAATGCTGAACGGTTCCCGCTTATGGTAAAGATCGCAGTGAAACCAGTCTAATGCTTAATCCAAATGCGCGCGAAAAAAGTTACAATAACATTGACTTGGCGGAATCTATAATAACCTTTACAAACAAAACATATGTAGCAAAGCCACGCGCTGAAATATAGGGTGTTAAGGCAAATTTCGAGCTAATGTTGAATATGAAAAGAGTAACAACTTACCAGAATGGTAGTCCAGCATATTGAATAACATACAGCCATTAAAGCAACCATCTTAGCAAAGCTCACACAGGCCGAGGTGTTGGAACTTTTAACTCGAGCGCCCTTCTCTGGTTTGCTGTCTTGGTCATAAACGTCCGAGAGTGAATTCTTCTCGAGCACGTGTAGCGTGTACACGACAGTTATGTTAGAGACCACCATAAGAAGAACGGACAGGACGTAATGAGCAGACATTACATAGACTACTACCTTGGTATCTGTGTTGTGTGTGTCCAATGTGTAGCTACAGACGCCGGTTGAGACGTTCAACTCGACATTGTTGAGCGCTTGAGGGAGAATGGCAAGTAAAAACGAATACACCACTAGAGAGATGAGCAAAACCACACACTTGTGAAATGTTACCCGTTCCTTGTAACAAAAAGGGAACACCATGGCGCCTAATCTCTCCAAACTCATTACTACCACAAGGGAGATTGTAAGCGTACCGAAAAACAGGACTCCAAACGCGACGAAACGGCAAACGCCAGCGTCCCACGACCACTCGCCGTTAAATCGTGAGGTGATAAACGGAATATACTGAAAACAAGCGATTCCCAAGCCAGCTAAAGACAGCGCACCGACAAATAGATGAGGGATCTTCTTCAACGAGGGCTTGCGGACTTTCAGATAGGTATAGTGAAGGGCAAGAAGGTTCAAGAGGAGTGTGATGGCAAATATGATAAGAACTATAACTCCTACAAGTTGGTCTTTCCATGATACCGAATTGTCGCTCCTTGACATCTTCTTAAAGCCACTTACTTCAAGAAAATTAGCAGGGTAAAAACCCTCGTATACACGCCTGAAAATCGCAACCAGCGATAAGTTCGACAATTCTCCACTTATTCTTGATCACGACTTTACTCATCGGCGCGAAAGCTAGGAACCGACGGCGAGTGAGTGCGCTGCGAAACGATGGAGAATTTCTTCTCCATGCCCGAACTACGGCGCAACGACAGATTTCGATAACTTGGCGCGATCTCAACAGATGTGCGTTTTTGTGAGCATCTTGTCTGGAAAGTAGAATGAATGAAGTGTCGTATTGATAGCTATTTTATGACACTACTTATACAGTGAATTTGTATTTTGAATAGTATCGTGCGCGCGCTCTTGTTGAGTGACGTGTAAGGACCTCTGACCACCTACGCACGGCGCATTAAAATGCTTATTATTTCAACGAGCAATTATTTCAAACCAACACTACAATTTTCTATCAGAAAACTGGAAGCTTACTAAATAATCCTTTTATCGTTGCTGAAAATCACGGCGTAAATATGGCACTCTTAGAATTGAAGTTGTAGAACATGGTGGGATTTTCCGAGTATTACCGGCCAACACAACTAGTTAAAGATTCTTGTTTTTATTTTATATTTATGAAAAGGATAAAACACTCAAGCGAAAGTCAAAACATTCAAAATAACACGCCATTAAACACATCAAATCTCCATTTCCAAGAGAAAAACCACGATGGAGTTTTGAGAAAATAAATATATCTTCGGCGAAAAGCGAATTCGCAGCTGAGATCCGGAATATTACTTAAACTTAAAAAGTGTTCTGTTCGACTGCGGACATCATTTGCTGATGATAACCATTATTATGCAAATTTTTTCTTGTCTCAGGGAGAACAGTGTTTGCTCTTTCAGTGCTGTAGAAGAAGTAGTTTTCCCAGCACCTGCAAATTCCCATATCATCCGGAATTTTCTTGCGTTTTCAAGTAACTGCACTTTCTTAACTACTTAAGTCCAGTATCTATAAGATCTACTTCGAAACTTCAATTGTAGCGTAAAAAACGGGTATAAATACTAAGTTTTGGTATTTATACACAGATGATATGATGAAGAAGAAAAAGAACTCCGAGTGCAGTGTTAATAGTGAAAAGTAATGCTATTATATTGCAAGCGCCGATGTTTGGGCGGGGAATCTGATTATGAGGGCACAATTTCCATTCTTTAGTCTTTTGGCGCAAGAAAACTTTCATTGTAAAAATCGATCCTTCTATCTTTCTTCACAAGCATGAAGAAGTGCATTTTGAAGGTTGAAATAACTCAGTAAAAGTAAATTTTCATCAAGATTCCGATTTGTAGGCCGACAATACCCAACAAACTACACCTCCGCAAATCGTCAAAATTACAATTAAAAGGGGAACAAAAAACAATCACATGCACTGGCCACGTCAATTTTGTCAGTATTTCACTGTTTTAAGCTAATCATGATTTCGGAGACATAAATTCTACAAAAACTAGTTTCTAAAGCAAATATCCTTTGGCCAAAAGAAACCGAACTGTGGTAGCCAAAATACTCTAGGACATAATCTCGGGCTTCACCAATAAAAAGGTTTTGTGATTTTTCGTTAAGTTGACGCTAGCAAAGATTTTTGTTTTTGGACCATGACCTTATCACAGCCACTGATCACAATGGATCTCTATCGCAAAAACTTAAGATAAGATATACCCTAGCTTCTTCGTTCGAAATGACGTTTTTAAAGTTCGCCTAACTAATAAAAAGGAGAGAAAGCGACTCCACATTAAATTAATTCTAGAATTACAAAGAATTATATTAATGTGGAGTCATTATATTCCGACAAAACTGTTGCGAGTTCGTGCTGGAAGCTTCGCTAATTGTACAGTACAAATCAAACGCTGTACTTATCTAGCAAAAACACATTATTTTTCTTGCGCCTAAGACACAGATAAAGTTTTTAAAATCAGTTATTACTCTCTGTTTTCGTGTATTACACGCAGTAGAATTCGAAGCAACAAATTGATTTTAGTAAACGTTCAGTCCCCTTGGGCGGTATAAAATGTAAACAACTGAAACAGCTGTTTTTCTAGCTCAAGTATAAAAAATTCTAACAAAATAGTCAAATGTTTGTTACAGATGTGTAACCCCTGACCTTCAAATAACACAACGCAAAATGCTTATCGTTCTAGGAGAAGAAAATTTTAGGAATTGAAATCTGAACGATTTCGCCGTAAAAAAGGCTTCAGATTAAAAGCCTAGAACCAAAATATTAGCTTCTTCTGACGTCGTCGAATACACAAAATCGGCGCTTTTTATTCTGAGGATACGGAAATAAGGACAGTATTTAACAAAGTTTCTATTTAATGCAAAGCTGCTAAGACTCAACTGGGCAGCGATTTGACAACATGTCCTCTTAGTGTGGACTCTAAAAATGTTTATAAGTGTCATGTTGTAATAAACTCAAACAAAAGCTCTTGACCTTTTTTTTGCAAATACAAAATGTTTTCAGATTTCATTCCATTTTTTTTAATAATAGCGTTCAAACTACAGCAACGAAATTGTGCTTGACCAGATAGCTCCTGTGCTGACAAATATTTTGTTGATCTGTAAAAATAGCTAAAGCATGCACAATATCATTAGCTATTAAAGTTGTTTGCATGGAAAATATCATGTAAGGTCTCCCAATTGTTTTACACCGTGAGACAGAATAAAGGATGGTAATTTGTGGGATATTTAGAACTGAGCCGAAATAAATAAATAAAACACCTAAACTGAGAGTACTTATTTCACGGAAAACCTGAATACTTTCGATCACATTTTTGACGTACAAATAGGCTGTCTTTTAACGGGATTGAAAATGCATGGATTTAATACCAGCTCAGTAAAGACGGGGTGAAATTCTTTCCTTGAAAAATGAAACCATTAAAATAAAAGCGATTTTGGCGGATTATGAAAAAGAATTCCAATTACTACTTTCTGTAATTGTAGCATTATGCAACATATGACTTAACTTGGAAAATTTTATAGGCCAGACAAATGCATTAGAAAATTAAAAAAACTGAATCGAGTCAGTTCTTTTTCTCACAGAGATAAAAACGTAGTCTGAAAAAAGATACGGCTCTTTAAGCAAGTAATAAAATATTCTATTTTCAAAATAATTTCTTACCAAGTAAAGTTTAGGTTAACTAAAAATGACACGAATACTTTAGAGGGTGTTGTGATATATATCTCACATAAACGAAAAAAGGGCAGAAGTAGACGAAATAAACAAAATATAGCTAATGGAACATACGGAAATTTACGAGGTGTCAGATGTGTTATTTCAAGTTTTTCCCACCTCATAAAATCATTACTTGTTTGTTCAATTACTTTGTACAAAAGATACGATGCGCGGATTAACAAAATTGAGAATAGGAAAAAAATAGTAATGAAAACCGTGAATGCTGAAAATAGAGTGAAAGATTTCAAATCATTTCAAGAGATGATGATATGTTGAATTTGAGAGGATATAAACCCCTATTTTATTCACAACAACATTTCGTTTGCTTATTTTTAAGCAAAATCCGAGGAGCTCAATGATTAATCCAAAAATTGTTGAAACTAAAACTTGCATTTTCAGCAAGCATTTCTCTGGGAGAGGAACATCAAATATAAAATATTAAAAAAATTGAGAAACAAAAAAAACGTCTGAATATTTTGTTGAATCAGAAAATTATACTGGTGACGAATGCGATTACAACGACTTTCCCTTGAATCTCAATATTTCTGAGGGACTTTAAGAGCTGCTTCCGGAAGAATACTCTGGTGTCTGAAGAAATGGTTTAAGGATATCCTATGTCAGGTCATCATATATGATCCTTTTGTTTCTTGGTTTTCAAATTGTAACGACCTTTTCATTAATTAGTTATTCCCTGAAGAAGTCAGGCCGTTCCTGACGATTTTGGACGAAAATATATTCTCATAGCTTTACAGTAAGCCTTGCTTTTTTCACTGCTTGCGAGAAAATGGCACGAAATTCAACGCAACTTTCCGACAAATAAGACAAAGTGAACTTAAGGTGGATTGTATTGTTATTATTATTATTATTATTATTATTATTATTATTATTATTATTATTATTATTATTATTATTATTATTATTATTATTATTATTATTATTATTATGACTATTTCCTTTAACTTTGTGCCATAACACAACATAATAGCCGAGCCCATTCATAGGGACTGGAGTTAGGAAGAGGTAGAAGTCTGTTGGGTATAGAGTCCCTTTCTTAGGATATGAGATGTGCCAAGAAGTGTGTTCGTCTGCAGTTCCTGATTTTGATTCTTTCCGGGATCTGTTGGATATATTTCTCCAACCTTTTCTTTATCATTATTGTCATTAACGGACGCAGAGAGAAAGAGAGAGTTTCGTTAAAGATAAATGTATTCTAGCACGTAAGATATGAGTGGAACGCATAAAGGCCAGCCAAGTTAAAGTCCATATTCAAACGACAAGATTGGTGGATAGCACACTTTCCTTCGTGCAGTCTTAGTTTGCTAGACACAAGGAAATACTCATGCTCAACTTTGCGCTTTAAGGATCAATAATGAAATTAGATGTGCCAAAAACCAGACGTAAAAAGGACAACGTTTTATAAACCTACGTTTACAATAGAGGAAATTTTTCCGGACTCATAAGTCTTTCCGGATTTATTATATTTAGGCAAGAGACTATAAAGGGGACAGAGAGGGCATCCCCCATATACACCCTATTCCATAGGTAATTCGTCTCGAGTTATTTTTAGAATCGGGATAAAGTTACCTCGCGCGAGGCGTGGATGTTTCGTGGAGGTTTCGCATGACCAAACGCCGTGCAAAACATGTCGGGCGAGAGGCAATGAAAGCGTAAAAAGATCGAGAGCATTCCTGAATATTGAAGCGAAATGAGTCGGCGCTCACCTGGGAAAAAGGAATCGCTGGACTCTTTGACAACCCGTGAAATCAGTTTAACTCGAAGTTGT